GCCAGAAAGTGATGAATCTCGCAAACAGAGAGAGATGGCAACAAACAATATGTTATCTTTATTTCAAAACGATATGCATAATACAGAGAGAGAACAGCATTGGTTCAATAAGTTGCAAGACCACCTTGGATGGCAATATACGAAGCAACATATCTAGGTACAGAGTCAATGAGACAACTATATGGTGTCCAGAGGAATGGCTTCCAATTCCTTATCAACTATTTGCTACAGTTCATTTTCTGAACCTGACAATGGAAGAATCTGCAAATAGCATCCAATCACATCCCAAATGTGTTTGATTGAAGAGAGATCAGGAGTGAACAGTATGCAGAGAAGCATCTGTACATCTGGTAGAGCATATTGGCTGATGTGAGCAGTGTGTGGTCAGGCGTTATCCTGCTTATAAAGAGCAATGGGCACTCTCTGAAGGTAGGGGAGTATCGTCAGCCACAGCATGTATTGTTGGGCCATCATACTGTCCTGAATACAAACTAGAGGTGATCTGGAATCATAAATGAATTGCACCCTAAACCATGATGCTGCATTATCGAGCAGTGGGGCGTTCCACAATTGTTGCCGGATTGGACCTGCCTCCACAATCGTAAGTTACGACTATTATTGGAGAAACAGAAGTGTGACATATAAAACCCTGTGCCATTCCGCCATCCACATCAAATGTAGCCATCTATGATGTGAGGTCAATGGCAGTCTTCTTAATGGATTCCACGAGTGCAGGTCACTAGCCAAATCGATGGCAAATGGTTCTGGTCGATATGGGCACATCTAAGCTGTCTCAAACATGCTGCAAAATGGAGGTAGAAATGACTTGCTGGTGCACCACTGCTTGTTGGTGGATGCACTGGTCCACATATGCTGATGTCACTCTGGTTGCACCGGCACCCCTCGAAACTACCACATTTCCTTGCCAACCATCATCACCACAGCCGGTGCATGTGGATGCATCCAGGTGTGTGTCAGCTGAGATTTGCCAAATGGACCAAGCTGCCCTTCTCAATCTGATCACCATCCCCTTTGTAAAATCGTCTGTCTGTTGGAAATTGCCTCCATTGATAACAGCCTGGCATTCTCTGCTATTACACACATCTGTCCTTCGAAACAAGAACAAATTTTCTACAATGGTTTCCCTAGCAAACATAATGGCACGGCAATTGAACATTCTGCAGGCTTCTTCAACATGCGCTGGAGAGTTCTGTATTTCACACCATTCGAATAACTTAATAACGTGCATCTACCCTGAAATTTGCATAATTTTTGGATCATTCATTCTCGGTGTATTTTAGTCTCTATTTTCATAAACTTACACTCATCAATATAACATTTATATTATTAAATTATACACTAATATGTGTCATGTGACAAAAAAATCTCATGACCAGATAAAGTGATAAGGGATAAGTGATGGTGGATGTGGGCACTGTCCCTTTGCCGCAAAGATTAATCAATACAGCACAACGACACCTTTATCTAAAGTTAATTAGAGATTGCATATAGCTACGTATAGAACATAATAATTATTCCTGTAATTACGCAAGTGAGCTTGGGGAAGCTTTCATGCAGGGCTAGTACACATACACTACATGTGTGCAGAAGGGGGTTGCAACTAAATTACTTCAGTTAACACATAAATAGTGCTGTGCATATACATATTTACATAATTATGACATTGCATGTCTTATATATACACTATGCAATACGGCATTGACATTATATATGAGATAATAGTGGTATTACATTACCATTATTGACATTATATTTACGAATTACATTATGCAGATTCAACTCTGTAAATACATTGTCAAGAGCAACATTGCATATAGAACATATTTATAAGACTATATTTGCTCTTGCTTTTATGTGATTGAGCTTTAGGACGAGCGTACAGGCAGACCTGATATATAGACATTATAGGTGCTCAAGGCAGCTACATCTGAGGTCCTGCTATACCTGTGAGATTTTTGTACAGACACATACTTATTTATGACAGTGTTTGCATATAATGCAGTACTGTAAGTATTTTCTATATTATATTACGTAATTCGATATAACATTACATATGACTTTACATTACTATTCAGAAATGACGTTACACTGCGTTACGTGGTATTACATTTACAGTTGTGCGTGTTCGGATTCAGCAGTGTTTTTATCATGTCCAATGTTACATTAGATTTTGATTACATATTGAGCAATATAATTGCTCTGGCAGTTATGCAAATGAGCTTAGATGTGACATGCCAGGGGCATGTAAGTATACATTTCTAATGTTCATAGGCCGCATCTTGTTGTGTCACTGCGGTATTCGCAGGATTGTACTGTACTATGTGCTTTTGCATACATATTCTAAGATATTGCCCTTTGACTGTTCAGTACATCCGATGCGACATTTACATTTAAATACACGTATTTAAAGCAGCTAGGTTGTGCAGCCAGTTATGGGAATGGGCATTGGGTAGCGTTACACTTGCAATTCAGGTCTAGACAGAGCCTGAATTGCAAGTGTAACGCTACCCAATGCCCATTCCCATAACTGGCTGCAGTGTACTTTCTTTTGTCTGACACGTCATCCATATTGATATTCACTGTTAAATTAGTGGAGATGTTCGCGCATACTTGCTGATGTGCATGAACTATTTTATATAATGGTTCTTAAGTTATTTACATTGCTTGAATTTTGATTAGTACTGCTGAGATGTTGCAGTTCGCTTCGGATATACAGTACATGTACACATACGTGGTATACTTGGCATGTTTGACTTACTGTTGGTAGAGTTTGCTTGTTCAGCGCTATATTTGCATTATCTGAGGAGACATTTCTCAAAAGCCATGCACTAATTATTCGACTGCACAAAGGTCAGTGCCGTGTCTGGCAAGTAAATTCATGATTTTAATGATCTGTTGACACAGGTGCTTCTGCTTGATCATGAATTTACAGAAGGCCTGCGTATTGACAGTTGGAATATGTATGTGCAGTTTGCTGGTAAGTGGGCAGGTTGTGACATAATGCTCCGGAGTACCCAGGTGGCCACAACTGCATTGATCTGTGTCAGTCATGCCATGCCTGGCAAAGTACTCCGGAAAAGGCCCATGGCCCGTGATATAGCGCACCAAGTGTGTATTAGAACATAGCCGGGCAGGGGGTTACGTACATTAGATGGTAGTGTGTACGCCTGTTTTGTGCAGTGTCCCATTCTTCCTGCCACTTAGCGAGAGCCTGCAGATGGAGATGTCGTTTCAAAGTAGAGTGTGGCCATGGAATTTCCAATTCCTCCGCTTCTATGTTGAGGGCTGCATCTTTCACGAAGAGATCGGCTGCCTCATTACAGGTGTTCCCTGTTTCCTTCACAAAATAAAAGCAGTTTTGTTCCATACATGATGTTTAGGTAAATATATATTTACACGTGCCTCTTGGCGATACACAGACACCCCGTTTGTGCAATTCTTCGACTTGTTGTTTTGGCTTTGTGTGGCGGTGATTTTTGGACATTTACCTATTTTCACTTAAAAAAAAATCAGATAATTGCACAAACTAGGCATTGCACACTTCCTTGACTTTGTCCATGTACACATTGATCTATATTCACTTAAAAAGTCAAAGGAGCAGCTAACAAAATATATATATCTCAACAAACTATATTTTAAATCAAGCAATGAAATAACATAAAAAAGGAAATTCATCTTAGTACTACACAAAGGGAATATCCATTTACCATATTTACGTCTTCAGCAGTAGAGTAGCGAGCATAACTGGTGCCGGGGCAAAATACCTTTTTTGGTGGCCCCCCTTGAAAAAAACACAAAGATATGATGAAAAACTTGTTTGGAGACCCTTTTGTGCTCCTCTGCAAGCGGTGCCAGGGGCATCATACAACCTCTTGCCCCTCCTCGCTACACCACTGGTCTTCAGTCAAACAAAATTCCTTAACAGCATCCAAAAACTTCCTAAAATTATCTGAACTAGAATCTGTATACTGGCATTGCCACATAAATTCACAAAAATAAGAGTAAAACATATCCTTCGTAACTCTGATATCGTCCGAACATACACATTTCCTTCCTACAAACAGGACGCTTAATAATGGTTACTAAGTAAACCTTCATCTACACACCAGTCAATGAATGTTTTTCCCCTTTCGTTCTAAATCGTACAGAATCATCAAATTAATCTTACCACAATCTAACCATGTAAACTACAAAATAACAATGAACTTATCCAAAATCCGACACACACTTTCCAACAAATGATGATTATTTATTACTATGATTCAAATTGACCGCAATCACACAACCAGTTACGTCATAATAGGGTTTCCATAACATTCAACTACTCAGGTTTCCAGAAATGAAAAAGTAACTTAATGATTATCCAAGGGGCACCCTTAAATCTATTCTAACCGATGTCTGAAAAATATCGTGTATAGATCAAAATTTTGCTTAAGTTCTCCCTTGAATTTACATTTCTAAAAAGGAAATACACACACACAATTTCACAACAATTTTAATGTAACTGAACATTTATACATTTTCTAAATGGTTAAGAAAAACTATTTTCTTCCGCAAAATCAGAAGTGGTTACAAGAATTTTAGCATATTCATATTAACTATAATTGCATACTAATTTGATCTGATCTTCAGAATAATAGTCTTTTGATCTCCCATTTACAGTTCTATCACATTTCTAAAAATAATTTAAAAAATGACACTTGATGCAATTGTTACACATTATTTATAACATAAATATACTACATTTATTCAATATTACTACTTATTAAATATTTTTATAAATATTTATTATTATGATAATACCTATTTGTTTTCAATACATACCAACATTATATTCTCTATTGAGAAGTGCTAGCAATTGCAAAGTTTATAGACAAAGGATACTTTTAAACAACCAATAAAACTTTTTATCCTTCGAGATTATTTACAGTGACATTATGAGTAAAGATCATTGCGCAGGAAATACATGATGAAATAAATTATGTAAGACATCGCAAAACCATGAATGAAAAGTGCTAAAATAGCCTCCAAACATGAGTGAAATATTTCTAGATTTATTTATGACAGCCTAAAATCGCATGTCTTAATCTCACAGACATGCGAGGAACAGCTGTCAAGAACACAGAATTTAGATGGATAAAAAACTCTTATGTAAAATGGATGTATTAAAAGTAATGCATTCATTAATTTACTACAGGGGCATGGCTCTTATTGATCTAAGACTGTCACTGAATGATTGTTTGGAATTGGACATTTCTTGCTGCCTGAAACCTATTTCACCACTTTTAGAATGATGCAAAAATTCAGTTGTGGCTTTCGCTGACATAAAGTTTGGTCACACCTGATCTATTATATACATCTATTATACTTATCAGATACAATTTTTAGAATATCAAAAAGCAAAACACTTAAAAATGAAAAAAAAAAAAAAAAGACACTTGTAATAGAATTATTATTCTATATGAATTACGGAAAGTACATGTAATAAATAATACCGTAACCAAACCCTTAAAAAAAAAAAGAATAGATTAAGTATTCCCTACCTCAGTACCTGAAAAAGCAATCCTGCCATACAACACATAGTTAACTTTTGATTACATGATATTACAAGCATTTTCTTTTTTTGGTTAAGACGGGTGAATACTGGTCGGCTCAAATTCTGATAAATGAGCTGGCTGTACAGGTTATTATTATTATTTTTTTTTGCATGCGTTTTGGCGACATTTTCGTGATTTTCCTTAAGTGATGTAAATATGAGCCTACTTACCTTAGAAAATATTCACGAAAGCATGGCTTTTTTAGCTAGCCCTCACATGCTTTGCATATGGAATTAAATAAACACACAAACCCTTCTTATCGTTAAAATGATAATGTAATTAATTTCATATTGCATGTAACAAAGCTTTTTAAAAGCTAGGATACTTTCTTTAACAATTACAGTGCTAATTAATGCTGTACTTCTCAGTTATATGTGAAATAACATCTTGGTGTCACTGCTTGTGACACAACATTTGTTTCACCTATGTCTTCTTATACAGTCATAAGCATGAAAAACCTAATCCATACATCCTTAGTGACTGATATTTGACATAGCTTTTATGTTGCATCTGTGAACTACACTGTCAGATTTGATCGAGTTAAATTGTGACTAAATTTCAGAAGACTTTGATAACATTATGGCATGAAAAATTAAAATCAAAGATAAATTCAACAGTACAATAAAAAAAGAAATGTTGTCCATAAATATATTAATAATAATTGATAAAATAGACATTTAAAATCATCTAACTTAAACCATATTTGAAATTTTTGTACTGTTATTAAATGTGGACTTTGAATAAAATTTTTAGCAGCATACATCAGTTGGATTTGGTTTGTTTTATGGAAAATAATGGGAGAGATTTCTGCATAAGAGGAAAGATGCCTTCAACATTATAACAAAGCTCGTTATTACATTTATTTTACTTCCATACGGCTTTATATATTGTTTCCTATGCTAACTTTAATTCAATACATACTTATTATCGTATATTGCATTTAACCGGATAATTTTTAATTTTCACTTTCATATGCTTAATATATTGTTTTCTCTACTAACTTGAATTTATGTTACTTTTTCTTTAATTATTTTGATTATATGCACTAAATATCACGCTTACGCGGCTTACTTCCATATGTTTTAATATCTGACAACCATACGCCAATCATCTTTTCGCATGGATCAATCGTTGGTGAACGTGACAAGTAAAAGTGCAACGGCGCCAACGGGTTCTTTGCCGAAATGCACAGGAAATACATATGCACACAAAAATATGAAGAAATAAATTATGTAAGACATCGCAAAACCATGAATGAAAAGTGCTAAAATAGCCTCAAACATGGGTGAAATATTTCTAGATTTATTTATGACAGCCTAAAATCGCATGTCTTAATCTCACAGACATGCGAAGAACAGCTGTCAAGAACACAGAAATTAGTTGGATAAAATCAAGTTTAGAAGATATGTTCACAGATAAAAGAAATATATTTTCTATTTAAATCACTTAGCAATAAATAAATATATATTGCTGAATATTAAAATATTTAAAGTATTAATATGTTATCTTTCAATAAACGTTTTTCTACACTCATTATCTTTCAATACATGTGATGATTTTAATAACATTAATCAGTTGATATAAACAATACAGATGCAATACGCAATACCCAATTTATAAAATTACTTTAGTGCATTACTAAAGTAATTTTATGAAGTAAATGTAAAGTAATTTTAGTGTAAAAAGCAAATTAAAGTTAATAAATTTAAATGAAATTTAATGAAAATGACAATCACAGATGAGATTTAAGTTTAAAAAGGAAAAGGTGAAGAAAGGCTGGATGGCTAGACTGGAGATTACAGTCCAGTCGCCAAGTGGAAATCGCACCAAATCTGCTAACCTCTTGGCTTTAATACGAATCAATGCTTTCCGATCATTTATAGCTCATTTAAATTTCTTAAATTTCATGATAAAACGCTTTACTCCATTTTGCTTTTGTTTTAGAATAGCAAAATTTTAAAAACTGTATATAATATATATTTAATATTATGGCTGATCTTTGGAATATGGTAACTTGTAATTTGGCAACATTTTGGAGGTGATAAAGGTTACTACCTAGGACTTTGGTAATAATGTGAGAAGTACTCAGTTCCGATTACGCATTATTTTGTGTGAGGGAAATGAGAGATATGTCATGTGACATTAATGGACGAATTACAGTTCTTTAATCGGAAAAGGGGGGGAATCTGGAAATTTTGTATTTAGCTTTATTCTGTGTTGTGTGAAACAGTGTTGGTTAATTTTTGGATCCCATGGCCGTATCTAAAGTGAATTCGAAATGGGTATTTAGTGGGATTGAAAGGGGTAATAATAAGTGTTTTTTTAAGGTTATGAGAGATAGAAGTAAAGATTGCTTATTAAGTTTTATTAAGTCCTGTGAATTATAAGTATGATTTTAAAGATCCTGAAACAGGCGCACATACGATTGCTTTTTATTTAGCGGAGGAAATAAGAAAAGTGTATCCACCACGTAATCAAGATTCTGAAGAAGATTAGGTAAGTTAGTATTTTAATTATTTGAGGATATTATTTTTATGCATTGTTCTAAAGTAAGGAGTAAATAAAGTAATATGGTATATTGGAAAATTGTTATTAGCAATGATTTTTAGTTTAAAGTAATTAGGATTGTAAGCTAATGTTTATTAATTTAATTATGTGGCTTATTTGTTTTTAAGTAGTGTTTTTGAATTTAATTATATTTTAATCAAATGATAGTTTATTTTGTGAATTATAGTTTGTAGGAATTTGGTATGCGTTTGAGTGGAAGTAAACGTGCATGGAAATAATTTAAATATTTGACACTAAGTATTTGTAACCATTTGTAATGTTAGCGGTATGAATTCGTTGGTGACGTTTATAATATAATAGATAATTTAGAGGTAAAAATTTTTGGATATTTTATTTATTTTATACGTGGAAATGTTCATCTTTGGAAAGGGTATATACTTTTTTGCGATCAGGTAATTTCATATATGTTCTTTTTACCGGATTTAAAGATTCAGAAAATTGTCGTGCATTTTCATGAAATTTTTCTAATTTATGAGAAAAAAGCAGTGTACATGGATATAGTGAAGAGTGTGCGCAATGCCATTTTTGTGCAATTCTGGGATGTTTTTTTAAGTAAAAATAAGTCAACGTGTACATGGTTTAGTGATATTTTAATTAAATGATAGTTACTTTGTGAATTTTATGTTTGTAAGAATTTGGTATACGTTTCAGTTGAAGTAAAACATGCATGGAAATAATTTAATTTAAATATTTGACACTAAGTATTTGTAACCATTTGTAATGTTGTGGTATGAATTCGTTGGTGACGTTTATAATATAATAGATAATTTAGAGGTAAAAGTTTTTGGATATTTTATTTTATTTATACGTGGAAATGTTCATCTTTGAAAGGGTATATTACTTTCGCGGTCAGGTAGTTTTCATATATGTTCTTTTTTACCGGATTTAAAGATTCAGAAAATTTTCATGCATTTTCGTGAAATTTTTCTAATTTATGAGAAGAAAGCAGTGTACATGGATATAGTGAAGAGTGTGCACAATGCCATTTTTGTTCAATTCTGGGATTTTTTTTAAGTAAAAATAAGTTGACGTGTACATGGTTTATGTGTATGTGCTATTCTGAAAAACGTGCAAGGAGTTTGCGATTGTGCACTTTTCCCAATTTTGCAGTTAATATTTGTCATGATTAAGCAGTTTTGTTACATAAAATTTCTAGCATAAGTGTAATTCGGCTAGTAGATTGTTGGAAAAAGTGTTCAGTAAATAAAAAGAAAAGAAACATGTCTTTACTTCGTGAAGACAAAATGGCGGCGAAAAAAAAATAAAGGGTTGCTGTAGCAGAGTTGGTCGCCAAATTACCATAATCCAAAGATCAACCAATATTATTTTCATCACTTAATAGGATTCAAGATGACAACGAATGAGGAACTAAATTAGAAGACCAGAAATCTGCCATGCTTGGGACCAAAGGTTGTGTGGATTTAGGATTTCGGGACAGAAAAATCATAACACTAAGACTAAAAATGCAAACTAAATAAGGACATTAATAAAGCATAAAATATTTCATTTGTTTTTACATTTTTCTCATAAAAGGTTTATTTTAAAACTTTAGGGTGCCTCAAAGTACCCCCTTTTTTTTTTTTTTTTTGTAAATTTTACCTTTATTACTATCTTTTTGCTCTATGACACAGCTCTGGTGTTCTAAAAATTTTAGGTATATTTTACTGCGTTCCAAACTTTCATTAAAAGATGTTTCCTTATTCGGTACTATTCCGTTTTGAGCACCGTAAAACAATTGAAATTATTCTTAAGACACCATTGAAATACTAGTTTAACTTTTAAATCCTTTTTTGATATCCTATGGATTTAACAACTTGGGAATTGCCCATGATAAAAAGTCTGCAATAGAAATTTTGGGTAAAGTGCAGAATCATTCACTGCTTGATGCATTTTTAAGAATTGCACATACTCAGTATCCATGTACACATCGACCTATTTTCACTTAAAAAAA